GGTTTATTTATTTTGAAAATACTTTTTTGATAATTTGTAACTCATTTATAAACATTTGATACCCAATGAGAGAGTTGTGACCATTATATTGTAGATGTGGTCACAAATGTGAGACTGGTTTGGGTTTGCCTCTCGAGTTACAAATGTTTTATAAGGAAGTTTTGTTTACATTTTAGGGTTAAACTAATTGCGAGAACATTACTCCAGTATTAGATAGGTTTGTCTGGATTCAAATCCTGGATTTATGGTCACATTTTTTGTATAAAAGCACACAATTATATGAACAGAAACTATAATTGATTAAACATATGTGTAAATGCATGTCTCAAACAAACATTAGATTTATATTAAATCATTATTTATGCCACTAAACAATAATATCTACCACTAAATTAACATTTATTTTGCCACTCATTACCTCTGATAGTAGACCTGACAGATAACACATATTTTACCACATTTTATATTTAAAATTGTATATGAATTTTGTGTATAAATATGTATATTTTGTATATAATGGATATCTAGTCATATCTTCAAATAAAATTTTGTAATTAATTGACTAAAGAAGTTTAGAAACAATTTTATATTTATTATTTATCTATCAATTTATAATTGCTATATAAATACAAACAATGATTAAAATGACTAAAAGGAGTACCAAAAGGCAATTATTCTGATTCTTTGAGCTTTTGTTTGTCGTCCTTCTCTAAGTTGAGGGGAAAGTCGATGCGATAAGTCGGGTGTTCGTGAGGGGGTTTCACCCATTTGGAGTCGCGCAACGGTGTGGGCCTCCGGTGGCCGTCCGGATACGGCAGAGGCATATTCAAGGGGTGCACCGATGGGTGAAGACGCGGCCATTTCGGTCGATCCAAATCGGCGTTGTTATCAAACGGCTCGATAGCCGAGTGCGGTCTGAGACCGCGGAAAGCGCCCACTTTAGAGCGCCGTTTCTTTATGGGTCCCTTCAGCCAATCGGGAGTTCCCACAGGAATGGGATGTATGTGTGGATATGTAGGCGTTTTGTCAAACTCTTTCCCGTAGTCGTAAGGGTTGACTGACGACAAGCGCTCCAACAATACCTCTTTGGATATATCTTTGGGATCGCGAAAGGCGTCCAAATATCTGAGTTTAAATGGGATTAACGCAACAATTAATACAAATATGCAATGGGTTTAGCGTTTGAGGGGTACAAACATATTGAATGGCGCTCTGCCCGGGAATTGCAACTGATTGTAACGCTTCTCTTTGGGAGGACTCCATTCGTAATTGGGAGCTCTCATGTCTTCGCAATCCATGTATAAAAACAGTTTATAATCATTTGAAATCATTTCTATTCAATGGCAAAACAAACCTAAATAANAAAAACAGTTTATAATCATTTGAAATCATTTCTATTCAATGGCAAAACAAACCTAAATAATCGTAACATATTTTCTGTGAGCTATAGTCCCAAGTGGTCTGAAACCAGGAAAGGCCTACTGGTGTGACAGTGTTGTCGCTTCCATGCGATGACATGAAGTCATAGGCATTGAATCCTCTCTTCTTCAGATCAAAGTCATCGACATTTTGCAAATTTAACGCATTTTTGTGTTTATATAAGAGAAAAACGAATCGTTGATAACCTAATCCTCTGATACCATAAACCGGTAAATATTTAATAATTGTCTCATAATTTGTCACTTTATTTTTGTTGTGAATATTAGTTGCCATCCAATGACACACATTTGACTCTTCGCCCAATTGTGAGTCCAAACTAATCAAACATAAAGTGTAGTAATTATTGTCGTCGTTAACGAGTCTTATTCGACCGCTTAGTTCTTCGGCCGAGTCATCACTTCTGTCGCAATCATCTGTACTATTGATACCATTGATGGCCGAAGAATCGATCGTTACATTCGGACAGTTAATGCATTTGTGAGGAAATAATACATTTCCGCGAAAGACCGGCGAAACTATCAAATCATTGTCCGAAACCTCTTCACCGCTCTTATTGTCAACAATATCTGACTCTAAGACAGAAAACTCTGCATTCAATGGCACTAATGGCCAAAAATAATAGATGGGTTTCGGAGGTAAGGCTTCAATGGATGACATGCTCTGAAGGGGAGGACTGGCAGGGAATAGGTCTCTGAAGATGGCGTAATG